CGCAATTAGTTGACGGCATGCCATTGTGAATTATTAAGGATTCCCCACATGCGGTGCATGCAAATAGTGATGACTTTATTGGCCCACTGCAGTCCTTGTCGTTTTTCGTTCCTGTTAATTGAAATAATAATTCATGCTCACGTAGCTCGTTAGGGCATCAGACATTCCATTCCCCCTATTTTCTTCGTTTTTCTGCATGTGTGTGTGTGTGTGTGTGTGTGTGTCTTCGATGTCCTGTTGCTTGTTTTTCTGTTTGCGTACGCTTTTGCAACCAACTCCGACCAACTTACACATGTGTTTGTGTGTGTGTTTGCCTACACTGAACGAAAGCGAGTGCAACGGGGCGTACGTGCAACGCAAGTCGTTTAAAAGTCACACACTAATTAAACGGCACTCGGACACTCCGCTCGACTGGCCTGTGAGTGTAGAGTGTGTTGCTTTTGCGGTGTGGCATGTCAGCATAGTGCTTACGTACACTATCGGCAATTAAAATCTAAAAAGAAGTGCGCCCTTCCTGTCTGCAAAATCTCTCTATTTGCTTAAGCTTCTGCAACCGCCTCCTTCTAAATGTAAATGATTCAGCTCTGGTTAACGCAGAGCTGTGTAAATAATATGGTAACACACGCTAGATTTGAATGAATGAAGGCGATAATCGTTTTGAATTGCTTCAAAGAAGCGACTGGACACTCGAGCAAATAAACAGCCATATCTTGGGGCCATCAAAGTGAAACATTTGCGTTGACTACTGGGAATTTCATATCGCTTAGGAGAGAGACAGAGATTTTATTTTTAGAGGACCTGGCTCAATCCTTTGAAATGATTACTCTACTTGTTTCCCTACAAATTCTATGCCAACATCTTTCATCTGATGTCTGAGGAAGCATTCTTAATTATGGCAGAGTATCTATCAATCTAAATAATTTATTGTACTTGAAATATTCTAAAAATATATACAACCAATCTCTTAAGTCGGTCAATCTGTAAAGCAAATTTTGTTATACGAATTGCGTATTTTTTACATTTTTCCCAATCGACCACAATCACATTACCATGTCAAATAGCCAGCTGAGGGATCATTAGGTAATCCAAGCTTATTTAGCCGCAGCTAGACCTTTCTTGCAAATTTGTATAATTTTTTTTGCGAGCTTGGTGTTGCCAAGGATTTTAGTTTTTCGTTTTGGTTTTTTTTATTTCGTATATCCACTTAAGCGAATGGTTAGAATGGAGTAACACCAAAGATGCCGCCGCCGGTGGCACCGAAGCCGCCAATGGCCGGATATCCAATATTATAGCCACTGCCATAACCATAAGGACGACCATAATATCCGCCCACCAGTCCCAAGCCGCTGGCACCATACAGATTGCCGTAGGGATAAAGTGAGGAGCGTATGCCGGCGTAGCTTCCATAGCCCCCGTATCCCCCATATCCTCCGAGTCCTCCATAGCCTCCATATCCTCCGTAGCCACTTCCATATCCTCCGTAGCCACCCAAGTAGGGAATTTGGCGACTCACTCGCTCGCCCCTTTCGCTATCCTGTTTTTTTTCGAACTCATTTTGCTGCAGCGGTTGGCCAACTGTTGCGGCGATTAGCAGCGCATATAATCCAAATAAAAACCAGCTACGCATTATCCTTATGGCTCCTTGAACTGCTTTACTGGTCGCTTGACTTTATCAGTGGCTTTATGATTGCTCCGCGCCCTCCGTTTGCAAACTGTGACCTGGCCAACTTGCGACCGGTGTCTTTATAGCCTAGAACTTTGGGCATAAAATGGAAACTTTTGTTTCGCCCTGCTTGGACTCGGTCTGTTTGTTTGTTTGCCTTTTTGCGGCCGCTTGTTAGCAGAAATTAGATGCTAATGTAAGTGCCATAAAACAAACTATTAAAATATGCGAGTACGATGCCCCAGCCTCCATTGCCACAACGACAAATGGAACAAAAAGCCAATTCATATGCTTGCGACCGGGAATTTTTTGGTGGCACGCTAAGTGGCGCTCATGAAATCGAATGGCAGCCAGTTTAAAGAGCAAAACATTTCACTTTGTGACCGCACCAACTTCTGGGCAGTGTTGGCCATTTCGGTTTGCAGCAAGTGGCCAAATATGATTCAAAATGTACAGCACAAAATGTTTAAACTATTTTTGTATTTCAAGGTCCTTAAAATTACATATAAAGCTGTCTGGAAGTGTGCTCTGCTTTTGCGTTTTCCGCACATATCCAGCAACTATTCAAACGATTCAGGTCAGAAGCTCACATTATAGCAACTTTCCATTACATTTAAGAGCTTATAAAATGTTGCATACTTTAGCACATAATTAGACTTGAAACTTTGGCGATTTAATAGCCAAGTGGGCCGCACTGCCTCTGCGGTCAGGTAAGCTGTGTAAATGTGCTAATTTCATTTGAAGGTTAGTTATGCCATTGACCAGACTCCCGCCCCCGCCCCCACTCCCACTCCCGCTGACCCATTCCCATTCCCATACCCATTCCCATACCCACTCCACACCAATCCCATGCCCATTCCCAGACTTCGGCGGATGCCTTCCACTTCGGGGTGCGTAAGTGTGAATTGCTGTTAGCTGTTGCTCTTGTTGTTTGCCGAGTTTGGCCAGTTTGCGAGTTTGCTGCTTGCCAGTTTGCCAGTTTGCCGGCCTGGTTGTTGGCCTGTTTGCTGCTGTTTGGCTTCGCTGTTTGTTTTATGAGCGCGGGCCGGCCATTAACAATGCTCGATGGCTCTATAGACGGCTTGAATAGCTCTCAATTGGTTTATTGCTATTTTCGGCGCATGTGTTTTTCGGTTAAATCCGCTGTCTAATCCTTAGCTGTGCATAGCTGCGGCATTTTAACACATTTATGCAAAACGCGAAGTATTCTCTATCGCCAGCTCCATTTCGCTGCCCAAATTTGCTTATTCAAATTTAAACGCTTTTAGCCAGTCCAAAAAACTGGGTCAATTAACGATGTCAACGTCAAAATGATGCACATTTTGCCAACCCACTCCTCTTACAAAATTCACTGGATGGCATAAACTTCCGCATAAATTTCCACCAAGAGAAATTGACTGCAACGAGAAAAACTCAATGCGAGATAAAAAAAGGGAAATCTGAGTCACGGCATAAATTAAAAATACACTTTTCACTCGACCACTGCCGACCGCAGTGGAAGTAGAAAAAGGAGCGAAAACTTTCAGAAAGGCCAGGCAAATATTTATCCCTCAAAATTCTACCTTCCACCAACTCACCGGAAGACGATTAGTGGAATTACTGATTTACATTGGCCATTCAGGTTACATTGGTGTTCAGGTTTTGGCCAAAAATTCCATATGTTTTGGTTAGACCAGGTTCATGGCTATTTAAATGTTGTTGCTTACGTCAGCTAATTATTGATGTTTGCGGAAGAAAAATTACACGACCTTGAATTAAATGAAAAGTGATATAAGCTTGGAAACCAGAATAGTTTTTGATGGAGATAACGACGACATTATAATTGGTTGACAAAGAAAAAGTTAGCAAACTAAAAAGAGCTAATAAACATTAAATCACGTGCCATCCTAGATGTTTTTACCTGTTTTAGCAAGGCGAATATTTTTTAATGCGAGTCCCCCTTAAAAGTTTTTAATATTTTCTTGCTAGCATTTTGTTTGTTACTTCTTTAAAAGTTCAACACAAAGTTTTGCTTCGTCGCAGAGAGGTGGCTATAATGTTGTGAAAAACGTAGGCAGTCTTGTCATTTTCTTCATTTCACCTTATCCCCGTTGAACTGAACTGATGGTCGGCAATTGACGGATGACAGGTCAGACAGCAAATCAGTTTAATACACAAGTTCCAGCTGTAGCAGATTTATTTTAACAGGCGCTTTGAGTGCATAATTGAATTAAAAGTTTTCTGTCGGTTTTTATTTCTTCAGAAAGCGAGACAACTTGGTGGATTAACTGGTATTACATTTATTATATAATTGGTCAGGTAAATGAATGTACTGCCAGAACTTTAAGACATTCAACTCAACCAAGTAATTAAAAATAAAACAATAAATATAATTAATTGATGCCTTCTTCTGCTTTAAATTCAAAACATGTTTCATATTTTTCCGTTATGTAAGATAACGTGTCTGTCTAAAATGGGTTTTGGAGATCAACGACAAACTGGCTTTCGGCTTTGTTAACTGAGTAATTATTATTTCTGAGAATTGTGCATATATTTTAGCACAAAATTTTTCCGCTAAAAAGCCTTTAAATTTAGGTTTCTATTAAAAATCCATACACTTGTGCCTTAAGTATATTTGTTTTATTAAGTTTGTTATGTAAATGGCAATGAATGTCATGAATGTCATATATAAATGAAGTGCCAAATCCAGATTAACAATGGCCAAACCAGATCTTAAGATGTGCTAACCACTGAGCATGCTAATAAGCGAAGTGAGTCAGTGCCTTGGTCAAAATGAAATCGACAATACTGATGACATTTAAATAATAACCAGTTGCGTCGGTTATTTACCCTTAGATTTTAATTAAGTCAAACAAACAAACAAAATCCCCGAACTTCCCGCGAAGAAAAGCTTTTCGAAATCCGATAAATGAAAGATGAATGGAGCGGCCTACTTGAGATGGTGCTTCCCACGAACACTTGGCCACTTGTCTATCGATCTGTTTTGTTGTGCGAGCTGAGCCAAGAAACTTGAATGTTTTGCGCATTTGAATAGCCGTCTGGAGAAAGCCCATCCTGAACCGGCTATCCACTTCCACTTCAGACTTCCCCATCATCTACATGGGGTGTTTGCCAAAAAGTTTGCCTCTGTTTCTGTTGCCTAATAGGTTTTGCTTGTTATTATGGGTCAGCTTTATTGTTGTTGCTCATAGCGCTTAGCCAGACAGTTAATACGAATCGCTCTGCTCGTTGTATTCATTTCAGTTTTGGCGTAACACTCACAACTTTGATGTTCCGCGCCCAGTCGAACCACTTCTACTTTTATTCGCTTCCATCGCCAGTCGATAAGTTCCAAATCATATAAATTGACCGGCCGCAGAGCAGAGGCTTGGTAGAATCCATCGAAACTTTGCCGGTGATTAGTAGCAGAAGTTTTCACGAATATGCGCACATTTGTTTGCCTTGTCTTGGCGACCATCCTCCTGGTCGCCGGCTCCTCAGCTGCCACATATGATCCTGTGGCGGCGCAACTTCTGGATGTGGATGCAGGTGTCCAGGCTCCGTCGGCAGCGCGGCAAGTTCGTCAGTTTGGCTTCGGACGTCCTGGCTTTGAACGTCCTGGCTTTGAACGTCCTGGTTTTGAACGTCCTGGCTTTGGAGGTGGATTCCGTCCGGAATTCGGACGTCCAGGTGGTTTCGATGGCGGTTTTGGAGGACGTCCAGGCGGCTTTGGAGAACCTGGCTTTGGAGGTTTTGGAGGACCAGGCTTTGGAGGCTTCCGGGGCTAGAAACCAAACCGCAATTATCTGCGACTGACTTAGCATAACCGGCTAGAAAAAGACTTTGTAATCAAAGTGTAATCAAGCACGCTCTAATTAAGTTCGAAATACATTTGCCCTCTTCTTTGAGTCACTTAATTTCCTTGTCATTTGCATGGTTTTCAGTGATTGGCATAGGTCTACAGGCTTAAATGTTGTTTGTGAATGCACTAAAAAAAAGTGGGTGTAGATATAAAAAGAAACATGATGATTTTAAGCAATTAAAGCTGATTAAGAAGCTTCTTAAGAATATCCTACCTCATTTATACTTTGTAGGAGGTTTCTAACTTCTAGCCTTTTAAACTAGAACTTCCATTTAAGGTATAAGTGCCAAGTATACGTATAAAAATGAAGATAAATTCGATCATTATTTTCTTGCCTGTAAATCAGCATTTAATTCGTTCATTCACGGTTTGTTTGCTTTTTCCTACTTATAACAAAGCAGTCCATTGAAACTTTGCCTCGGCTTCTGCCACTGGCGTTTGCTATCTAACTTGCCAATCGCGTCGGATGGCAAAAGTCGTTTAAGATTAAACGCTTGCTGTAAAATTCCTCCTTTGACAAGCGCCCCTTTTATTGTTAAAAAATTAACTTGGCTTTAAATTTACGCCTTTTGTTATCCCTTGACCTCTGCGCCAAGTACAGCCACCCACCCAATCCAAAGGCCCACCCACTCATACAAGGGTCATACGCCAACATTGATAAAAGTTTTCGTTTTTATTCTCGTTGCCCCATCACCCGCTTTTCATTTTTTCTGGCTCGTGAAAAATTTCTTGTTACTAGAACGCAGACTTGTAAAAGGCTTTGTTAGTCTACACTTTCCCGGTATACTTTGGGAACTTTGTTAAAAGTGGACTTTTCCTTTTTTCTCAGCGCTTTAATGACTTTGCATAGTTGGGGTTTAAGGAATTTAACAGCTTAAGATTAAGAATTTTAGTGCAAATAAACTAAAAAGCTTTAATACAGTTCAGAATGAAATGGGTTTAATTGCTAGTTACACAATTTAATAGTTATTTTAAACAGTGTCAAGAGCTGAGATATCTTTGCAAGGCTTAATCAATTTCTACTCGGTTGCCATCTCGTTACATTTTTTAGAAAATTAATAAATGTTTCTATATATTTTTTTTAGTAAACGCACAAATTAAGGATTATAAAATTGCCCTTAGAGTATTGTCGTTTCGATGACTTCTTGTTTACTACTGATCCCTCTGCATTTTGGCCATTTTGGCGGAGCTCTTCTTATCGAAATCGTGTCTCAATAAATCTACGGCACCTTCGGATACACACCCGCCCACTTTTCCGAAGGGCCGCCCACCCAAGGGCAAAGCCCCACGCCCCACGTCCCACGCCCAAGCAGCTGGCATCAAACGGTGGGAAAATGCGGGAAAAATGCGAGGGCCGGAAAAGCCGTTCGAACTGATTATCCCTGTTGACCGTCGCGGCAGCAGGCGCAGCTGATTGATTTGTTATTGAAAATATTAGGCCTGGACCAGAAGGGAAAATCGAGATGCCAGAGAAAGATGGAGAAATGTGAGAAGGGGCGTGACGTGAAACGTGCTGTGCGTTTGGATACGCTTGAAACTTTTATAACTTTATGAGGGCGTTGTAATTTGATATCGCAAAGTTTTTTATTGCCTTTTATAGCCTTATAATTTGGCCGCGATGTTGTTACTACCGCTGCTGTTGCTTATGTTGTTATTGCTGGTGTCGCCACAAGAGAGATGCTGAGCCCGATTTGTTGGCCCATCGGGCGTATACTTGTTGTTTTGCGGCGGCTTTTCGTTTACACGTTATTTATGGCTTATAAATACGTATCGTTTTCGGCAAGGGGACGTCGCTCGGGGCGGCATTTCTGAATTGTAAACAACTCACATGTGGCCCGCACTTAAGAAATCTCTTAATGAGCATTAGATGTCGGCAAATGAATTCACCCATATGTGGAACTTGAGTTTGTGTTGGTAATTGGATTTGAGGCGCCCTACCTTTTCTGCTTCCGTCATCCAAATGACGGCACATTTTGATTCGAGATTGTATATAATTCTGTCAATTCTGTGAAACTTTTGTGATCAGCTCTAATTAAATTTGCAGATACGATTTCTAGGTAATTTAAACAATAGTATAGTATCAATTACGTATTGATTGATATAAAAGTTTTATGTATTCGTATCTATTGATCATGGATAAGCAGTGATTACAATCATGACAACTAATTATAATAATCTAGCAGTGAAAATGAGGTTGCTGTTTAAGTTTTAGTTTTCGCACATACAATGCATATAATGCACTTCCGTGTATAACAAGCAAGCTCCTGTTGCTTTATTTTTATTGAGCAATCTTTTGAAATGGGATATTTATAAATTGGTTTATTGAGTTTGTTACTCCGATTTTTGTAGACCATAATTGGTAGTGAACGAGATGAGAAAATGAGTGGGCGTAACGGCCAAACAAAAAACAAAAACAAAAAAGTTGTGCTAGAAGACGATTTTCGGTCCGAAATCAATGTTGATCTATGAAACGAATTTGATTAATGTTTTGGTCTATTTCGTTGTAATATAAGCTAAATATTATTTAAAAATTGATGCCGTGACTATTATTTTTTTTTAAGAAGTTGTTTTAATATTCTTTAGTATCTATTCTCAAATTAGCTACCGTTTACATATAAATATTTTTATTATTAATTATCTGTAATATATGTATTACAATTGTAATGGGGTCGTATATTTATATGACCTTCGAGTCGACTTGAAATAATAAATGCTTAACATAAAATATTTCCATGTTCCCCAACTAAGCTAGATTTCTAACTATTGCTTTTCGATATAATTTGCTCCTTTTTTTAATTCATTTTATTAAATTTTTGTACTATATATATATATACATATATATATGTATATATTTATTTTTAGTCGTCACTAATTTTTCATATTTGAGATAGAATGCTGAGTTTTGCTTGCTTTTTTGTTTAGCAGCTGTCACAGTCCACTTGCAATGCTTAAAAAGTAAAACTTTTATTATTTTGTTTAAAATATGTATCAGTTTTATGCACATAACACTCATTATTTGAGTGAAACCATAATGAGAAATCGATACTTTCATATGTGCACTTAATGCATTGCTCTACAATAAATTGTTTTATACACCGTTGTTTTTTATTATTTTTAAAAATATTTTCAAAAACTTTAATGTGTATTTTGCAGATATTAAAAAAGTTCAGTTGCCTTCAGTTTTCCAAAGTCCGATTCTATCGAGTAGTTTTTCTCATGTATGAAAAGCTCAGATGGAACTGTTAAATGCTAAAATTGCGAGGTTTTTAAAAATATCAAATTAAAATATAACAAAAACATTCAACAAAATAATATTTGCATTTCAAATACAAAGTTTGCATTTTATTTACTTGTATACTAATAATTTGCACTAATAAAAATACTAAATAAATAAAAAACTTCATATGCAACCTGTTTATTGCAAAATTGAATTCTTGAGGCAGGACCAGCGCACCTAAGAATCACTAAGATCAAATATATTTTCCACGTCGCAGGTTATAGCCCTATAATTCCCAACTAGTTCTAGTGAAGACTGTAAGGCATGTCTTCTAATTTGGAGTCACAAAATAGTAACCTCTCTTACCGGTCGAGCAGTGAGTTTAGTGTATGTGTAGTGTATGTACCGGTGTATGTAGGTATGTATCTATGTATGAATCTATGTATGAATCTATGTATGAATCTATGAGTGTATGTATTTATGTATGTATGTTTGTATGTATGTATGTATGTATGTATGTATGTATGTATGTATGTATGTATGTATGTATGTATGTATGTATGTATGTATGTATGTATGTGTGTATGTATGTATGTATGTATGTATGTATGTATGTATGTATGTATGTATGTATGTATGCATGTATGTATGTATGTCTGTAGGTAGTGTATGTGTTGCTTGCTCAAAGTAGTAAAAATTGTCTTAATTAAAACCTGAAGAATGTTTAACTTACTGTGTTTAGGAAACATATTGTAAGGCATGTCTTCTAATTTAGAGTCGCAAAGTAGTTCAAGTAATCTCTCTTACCGGTCGAGCAGTGAGTGTAGTGTATGTGTTCTTAAGTGTGATTACTTGCAAGATCAAATTGGCATCCCTCTTGAACAAATAACCGGGCAAATGTTATTCATTCAAGTGTCTGAAATGTTATAATATTTATTTTAAAATATTTATTCATAAAAAATATTTAAAATACAATATAATTGTAAAGAAATTGATTACCCTACACTGAAAGGGATATATATTTTTATGTTTATTCGTATACAAAGGGCTACTAAAATAATATCGAGCTGTAAGTAATTAAATAATAAACTATTATTTTGTCATAATTATATTAGTGAGTGAAATAGTGAGGTCTTTAAAGTGAGTAGTAAAAATTGTCTTAAATAAAGCCTATAAAATGCCCGAAACGTATTTGAAACGCACTGGCACAATGGCAACTTTGCGTCTTTGGTAAAACCCAAAACAGGTTGCTTGAGCTGCGTAAAAATGATGCTTTTATTTACTTTATTTTTTCCACCCAGTTGTTTACCATTTCAGCTGGGGGCTCTTGAGAGTCGGGGGGTTTTCTTCGCCATTTGATTATGCTCAGGAAATTTAATTGCTTCAGGTCGTCGGCACACAGAACTCGTTTAGAACCCCACAGTCATCGCAGTCAACTCGAAAGCTATATAAAGAGCCTTGGCGGGGGATCGCCTCGACTATAGTGAGAACTTTGGCTGAACAAGACAACAGAACGATGCGCACTTACCACCTGAATCTATTAGTGCTAAGTGCCGGCCTACTGGTCCTGCTGGCCAAGTCGGGGACCACGGCCCCTCAGGCGGATGAGGATGTACAGCAACTGACTCTGCAGGATGTAAATCAGGCCGAGGAGCAGCAGGAGATGCCGGCTGTGCGCCTGGCCAGGCAATTTGGTTTCGGCCGTGGAGGATTCGGCAGACGCGAATTTGGCGGATTCTGCTGCGGCGGCGGTGGATTCCGGAGACCCGGTTTCGGTGGATTCGGTGGATTCTACCCACGCCCACCGCCACCGCCCTTCTTCGGTGGCCCCTTCTTCGGCTAGGTGTTATTAATTTAATGTGTACATATGTGATACGATCAGACCAGGATTAGCTGCTAATAAATCAGCACAAGCTGCTGCTATAATTATCCTACCAAGTGCAGAACCAGTTTTTATGCGGGGAGCACTTTTTTTTTAAATCCAACGCAAGTGCTCCTCTATCTTAAATATTATGAGCGCTAAGCGGAAGCTGCTGGAAAATATATTGATATAAATATATGAATACCTTGCGTATCTCTGGAAATTTACATAAAATAACAATATGCACATAAGCTCATTTATCAAATCATAAATGAGGTTATTTTTTGAGGCACTTTATTTTTGGACATGTTTAAATACTACAACTTTATAATTCTTTTTAAAAAGGGCAATCTAGATTTCGTGATGATAAGCTGCAACCTGACAGAGCGTTTAAATAAATCAAAAGAAGTAGCTTCTGTAATTTCCAAAACAAGTTCTTGTTTACTCTACTTAAGCTAGATTATTCTCATAAATAGAGCTGTTTGCATTTAAATGTATTGTATTAAGTGGAATTAAGATGAGTACACTTCGGTGCTTCATTGTTTTAATTTTTTGAGTCCTGTTCGTTGGAGTTGCTGTGGCTGAAAGCAGTAAGTCCCAGGATGGAAAGGATGAACACTATTCCCAGTCCGATAAAGTAAAGAGTTCAGATGAAACTATACAAAGGATACGACGTCAGATTGGAGCTTTTGGAATCGGCGCTGGATTTTATGGAGCAAGGCCTGTTGGGCAAGGGGCTCCATATGGAAGTCCCTTCTATGTTCAACCTTATGGCCATTATTTCCATGATCGCAAATTTAAAGGAAACTACGGTTTTGGTGGATATTACTACGGTCGCTAGACAGTTTTTGTGCTCAATGGCAGTCAATGTGCACTTAATAAACTTAAACATTAAAATATATAAGCACAGTGGCTAAAAAGGGTTGATCGGATGGGGTGGACTCTCGCCCAAGGGCGAAGTTGAAATTATAAAAATTTCATTTCAAATCACGTTGAGTGACATGCAGACTGAGCACAGGACAAGAAAACTTAATCAGCGATGTTAACGATGTCAGGCTGCGGGAAACAGGATGTCATTCTGTACCATCAAATGGCTTCATTCCGGGTCGCGTACTCGTATTTTATTCCCTTCTCTACTTTCTTTATCCTTAATTTTCTTCTTCCTTTTTTTGTATTTTCTAATTCATATGCGTTTCAAGTTTTAATTACGTGGGAAAAAAGCGAATGAACAAACGAGCGGGTGCCATCCAGGGACCAAAGCCAGGACCATGGCCAGGACTTCTTCTGGCTCCTTTTTGGCTTGACTGACAGACAGGAGCCGCAGCAGAAAGTAGAAGAGCAGCTGAACATGAAAATAACAAAATACGCCCAATCAGACCAGCCAGAAATGGAAACGAGACGATACACAGAGGGTAGATAGACGACCAGACCTAGAGACAGACGTCTACAGCTACAGCTACAGCCACAAAAAAGGGCAAAAAAATTAAGTAGCGAAATCAGCGGGTGAAATGAAAAAAAAAAAATATACAAAAAACAAAAAAAAAAGTAAAATAAAACCAGAAGGAACCAGAGCCCCCAGAACAACACAAATAAAACAGGATAAAGGCGTTGCATGCCAAGGATAATCCGTGCAGAGACGAAACCCGCGACTGACAGAGGCGGAAGAAAAATGGTAGCACGCAAAAATTGTGAACTCACTTGACGTGGCTCATTCTGGCTGAGCTGGTACTGCACACTATGAAAAATCGTAATTATTATCAGGCTGGCCGATCTGACATAATGCGGCAGGCAATATGGTCTATTGCTAAATTCAATGTCTAGACCAATTATTAAAGTTTTATCCCACTAAAAGAAAACTTTATTAAGCACTAGGCTAGCTTAATCCGTAAAACATTTCATAACATATACAAAACTTTATATTTTTCGTATTTAAATAAGCTCAAATCACTCAACCCAAATAAATTTCGATTCGTATTTTAACAAAAACCAACTATATTATATATAATATATAAAGCCATCGGTATTTTGCAAGCACTGCTACAGGGAACTTTTAAGACGAGAGTTAACTTAATTATTGGTGCTCGTTTCCGATTCCCTCTTGAGAAGCACTCATTAATTTTTACAGTGCATCCCCCTCCTTGAGCAGCCGTTTGCCACCCACTGCCAAATGGCATGACGACGCTGTTTGGTGTTGACGTGTCTGTGGGTGGAATGGGTGGTCATCGCTTGTTAGCTGCGTGTGGCGGCCAAATCAGCGCTCTTTCGTTTCGTTTTGTGGGCTGGCCAGTAGATGTGGCCATAAGCATAAATATGCACGAGCCGCTGGCTACAGCAGCTGGCCAAATTGCCCTGTGCGTGCGTGCGTATTAAAAGGAGAAGAATCTGCAGCAAAAAAAGTAAAAAAATAAAAAAAAAAACGAGAATAAATATCGCAGTAATTAACAATTACAATGATGCGAACAAATTCTGTTGGCCAGCTCAGCGCAGCTCAGTTCAGTTCACTTCAGCTAGACCAGGTCCTAACGCTTGACTGCCTGGTTAACGGACTGCTTGAGTGACTGACAGTTGCTATCAGAATGTGGATGCCTGTCCGTCCATCTGTCCATCTGTCCATCTGTCCTTCCGGCTATCTGTCCGTCCGTTCGTCTGCGGTTTTGGCTCCCCTTTGCTGTTACTCCCTCATGCTGACATTCCCACAGATGTTCCAGCTACTTCGACCAGTGTGAAATAACAATGGGAATAGAATAGGGTAATAACAATATACCCAGCAGTTTGCATCGCTCTGCAGTAGACACCAATTAAGAACTTGGATAGATCAATTTTATGGACACTTCCTGGGGCCTTACTTTTCTATTATCTATTATATTACTTATGGTGTTAAAAGTAATATTAGATATTTTGATCAAGTCTGATAAAAATCATTTAATTCTTGACGTACTATATAAATTGTCTCATTTTAATTTAATGTACACCTTCGATGGCATTACAATTTCAAAGGTATGGCATTTTAGTTGTTCCTGAGTTGGATGTCAAAGTTTATCATTCGTTTTCTGTATGAGTTTGGTTAGCGTATTATATCTTCGGTTTGCTGAATTCCCTTCGTTTTTGATATGCCTTCGTACTTTTGATATGTTTACGCTTGAATAAATACGAATATTGCCATTATTTGAGGTGTATTTATTTTTCAGTATATTTTGGACGGTTACCTATTGATTCGTCTGCTGCGTCATTCAAGTATTTAAACCAACAACTAGATTACATTTTATTGCATTTGCTGTATGAGTATTTGAGCTGCAGCCTAAGACAATTATAATGACTTTGGAATGCGGTTTTTGTATAAATTCCACTTATTTTGGGCATGCATAATCGTTGTTTTGGGGAAAAATAATGAACTATTTAATCAGCTTTCCCTTAAATCATTAACAGGGTAATCAAATTAGTTCGGAATGGATTATATGCAACGAAATTTATTTAATGCGACAAATAAATGAACTTTTTAGCGAAAATCCCCATTAAATGAAAGCGTGTTTTAATAAACTTTAGTTCGCGTGGACCAACAGAAATATCAGATACATTAGCCATCATGGGGGAAAAGCACTCGGAAACCAGTCCACAGCCTCAACGCACTTTGGCCAGATTAAGGATGATTTTATTTTGGTTTCGTTGTGTGCACTCCCGCCTACCATGTTTAATTGTATTTGTGGGTATGGAAAACACACACACACTCGCGAACGCGAACGCAAACACCAACACCAACGCAAACACAAATACTCGTGCACAGATGGGCATGTTGGCACATCCTGCCGCAAAGTTTCGCTGTTGAAAAATCTAAGAAAAAATCCCTAATTAAACAGTTTGTCAGTAATGCAAATAAACTTTGCTAAACTTTTGCCCACAGTCAACGAAACGAGCGCGTTTCGTTTCCTTTCCTTTTCCCCAGCTTGTTGCTTATTATTTCTTGGTTTCTTACTTTTTCGAATTCCCCCCTCTTCACATTCTCATCATTACTTTTTTATTTTTGGTCAAGCACACAAAAATGTAATTATTAAAAAATTATGCTAAACACGCAATAAAAAGTTGGTGGGAGAAGAAAAAATACAAAATTAACGAAGAAACCGACGACAGGACAGTGTACAAGGCAAAAAAAAGCAAACCAAAAAAAATTTATTTCTAAAAGGCAAGCGGTCAAATTTATATATTTGTAAAATGTTGTACTTTTTGTTAAACTTGTTGTGTTCATTTTACGTTTTGTTTTGTTACCCGCCCGCGTGATGGAAAGAAGGAAAGTATAAAAGAAAAGCGAGGCTGCCAACAATAGCAAAATTAACAATTGTTAATTTGAAAATTGCACACAAATGCGTAATGCGAAAGTTTTTGCGCTCCGCCGGCGGACAGCATCCCGTAGTCCCTCACAGAAAACCCCGACCGGTCCCGAACCCGGACCTCGATTCCGGATCCCGACAGACTCGGCTTGGCCACTTGTTAAGTGTTAATGAAATAATTATGCCAACTTTGCCCGCGTCCAGCCACTAACACCACTACCACCACCAACAGCCGCACATGGCCGATTTCGCGCCCACTCTATGTATTCAAACACTGGGCAAAAATATGGAGTCCAATGAAACCGATTAGGGAGTTTTAGGGTTTTAGGAATACATCATAAGGATTAGTATCGGATATCATTTCAGTACAAGATATGCTGCATTTTGCCTGCATCATTATATTTTATTGCGTTTATATCTGGGGTAAATATAGAATTAATTATGATTTGATTTTATCACTTTACAAAAGTGCCTGGTGATTGCATTTGATTTGTGAAATACATCATTTGGATTATACAGATAATTATAGGTTACATTTCAAACTTAAATTACATTGAAGCTTACATTTTATAAGCATAAACAGTCGAAATGAATAAATTGTCCGACAGCGTGTATAAATATATAAAACTGAATAAATGTGGTAAAAACAACTAAAGGACTTACGATTGTAAAAGTTACTTAGTTGGTCCAAAGTATGGTAGGAGAGTCTTACAAATTTGACTTTGCAGTTGTTTACTCTATATAGAAAGTTGCGT